AGATTGTGATCTAATTTCCCCAGAGGAGGGCTTACTTCAGAGATGTAGGAGTAATTGACATTTGCATAAAACAAGTCCATAGCTTTGTTTTTTTCTGGTGAGCAGCTGGTGCGACTGTTCCGGAAGTAGTTAAAGTATTATTTCAGAGTTAGAGATGTTAAGAGCTGCTCCCAGGTGTAAAATAATCAACTTGCTATGGTTGCTGTGGTTACACATCATAACAAGTATCCAAACAGGACAAAAATATCATTCAATATCGCTCCAGTTTCACAGCATTCATCCAAAGAGGTAAAAAACATCATAAAAAGAAACTCTGATCCAAATATGAAAGGATTAAGTTTCTCTTAAAAAAGAATATCAGAGTGAAGCTAGCAGAGGTACTCCAAAGTGCAGCCACCTTAAGCAGCATAATTCTAGAAAAAGCATGTATGCATGTAGTAAAAGTGAGTATTGGTTTGTATTGTGTCTCTGACCAACAGCAATCCCTAATACAGTACAAAGCATGCATGCAGTGACAGTGGAGAGGAAAATGCCCTTTTACCTGGAAGAAACATCCAGCAGAAACAGGTGTGAGGGGCTCTCCCTTGAAATTAAAAAAAGACATAAGCAGACACATAGAAGGAACATAGTGACATTGGCGTGCTTACATTCCTGTGTTTTTCACATTTGTCAATTAACATGCACGTCTCAGTCTAATAGATAAAAAATACACATATCTATATACGTGTTCTATGTAAGAAAGGATACAATAAACCAGATTAATAGGTACTTCTACCAAGAAAGAATTAGGAAATTAAGCATGTGAACTCTAATTATTTGGTTGGGTCAAATTTATGAAAAAGAGCATAGAAAAAGCTAAGTCAATATCTATATCTTGGTGTCTAGAAAAGAGAAACAAAATGCACATTGAAAGACAGACCCAACTCTGTTACCTATAAAGAATGTTGCTGATGGTAACAGCCCTGCTGATGCCTCCGTACAGGATGTTGACATATATAAACAGAGCATTAGGCCAGTTGTAAATACTATGATGGAAAAAAAGAAAGCAGAGAACATGAAGGTAGGGGTTTGACTAACAAAGAATGTAACAGTATAAAATGGTAGTAGAATTTAGCAGCATGAGGAAAAGTGACCGTTATGTCTTCCGCTAGCCTTAGCCTATATAAGCATAACTGCAGTGATAGCTCAGGTTATCCTTAGTCCTCTGTAAAAATAAACTAACTTTAATCTTTATAAAAACGTAAAGATTAAAGTCTAGTCTTAAAAGTAGACAGACTGTCTGCCTCATGGATTAAACTAGAATTTGATACCACAGGAGAGCAGTATGATGAGATATACTGTATGTCTCCTATTAGAAATTCTATGAATCTTAAGTAATTGTGTAGCTCGCGAGATGCTCTGTTAGGAACACAAGGAGAAAACATATCAGTGTGTATGTGTACTAACATTTCCATAAGAATACTTTATGAGCAAAATAATTTCTTGACATTCTACAGATATTTGTAACTAGTATTCATCAGAAATGTCTCCTAACTGCTTTGACACAAATAATGAATGAATATGATACTAGAGAGTAGCTGAATGGTTGACAGTGAATGCTTCATGCTATTGAATGTATGTATTTTCTGTTACCAGAAGCTGATGTCTGTGAAAATAAACACTGTACACCTGCAATAAAAAAATAAATAAAATCTCAGTCTCAAATTCTCTGAATTATTTATTTTAATAAATTATTAACTGACTAAGATATGCTTGATTAGACACACTAAAGAATGTCTTTTTTTTATATAATTAATTAGGCAGTCCCTGCTGGAATGACTGGGGCTTGTCCTAGTATAATGTAGCAAGCTCAAGACGTCATAAGGGAACCTCAAGGTTATAACTGTCTCATCAATTTCCATGCAAAGCCAGATGGTTTTGTCTTTGAGTTCTTCCTCTAGAGAGGTTGCAAGGCTCAACATCTGAGACATGCTGAGACTGAGATGGAGACAAAGGTCCTAATAAAGACAAGAAGAGTGCTGGACTGAGGTCAATATGAGAGTAGGATGGATTTCAAATTTGCTCTGTGTACTCAAGAAGGCCCAGCTCTCATTATAATCTTTTTTTTTTTTATGGGTTGAAAGTGGGCACAGAGACAAGGGTTCAGAAATTGTCTGGCCACTCTTAAAGCACTGCCTAGTTCCCAGCCATTGAGCCAGAAAGAAGAGCCAATATCTCAAGAGTAAGAGCTCACAGACACGTTCAAATGAAGGTAATGATTCCAACATGGAGGGTGACTCTTCAGATTAGTCTGTGTAGCTTACTCACTTCATATCCAAATTAGAAAAAAATGCCTTTGTAGCTAAAAACACCACAGAATATTGGTCATATGGAATAACAGCTTAAATTTAAGAGCCAAAATCTGTATCCTCAGTTATCAATTTCTAAGCTTTGTTGGAGATTTTATATAACTGAAAACTTGATAAGGTCTTAACTTATCCTTAGTTCTAAAATTGTTTAAGTGGGAAATATTTTGGGTGTTCTAATAAGCCAAGGTTGTATTTTTTATCATACCAATTTATCCCATAATGACTTTTTACAGAAGGAAGCAGCATTCTGTGCTATTGGCAGCTGTCTGATCGACTTTTTAAGCATACCTGTCAAAACAATGGGGGAGTAATCATTTCTGCTAACAGGATAACAGAATGCATGAATTAGTTAAAGGTACCACAGAGACATTATGCAATTTTTCCTTGAGTATTTACGTAACTGATTCCCAAAGTTGATCAGGCATTATGGGGTCTTGAGATCCTCTTTAGAAGTTAAACTAAACAATAAACATTCATATTAAAAGTGCTTAAAGATGTTAAAGCATCACTTAAAAATTGTCAACTATAATTACTGATGCTATTTGTAGTATTTTTAGACCAGTGGTTGATTGATTTTGAAATAACGTTTGTATATTCAACCAATAGTTTGGTTCATGAGTTCTCTCTGGTGGCATTTTGCAGGACATTTTGCAGGTCAAATGCTAACAAGTTTGGGAACATCTACTCTAGATGATAGAAGGTGGATTTTGTTACTCTTTTTACTATCAACTATGGTTGAAACAACTAACTATAATGACAAATTGTGATGTGTGCCAAGCAATAGCTCCTAATTGAAAGGCAGTGTAGTATAACATAGACACCATAAGGTATGCTTAGTTTTCTCAGGAGAGTTTGCACTACCTATAAGTTTGTATTCCTTTGTTATTTTTCTCCTACATTTACTTCTCCTCCTTATATTGCCCCTTATTCAGTATTTCAAATACCATTGCATTTTGTCACTGTTCTGATTCTAATGTTTTGGGTTTAGACAGCTTACTGCCATGTAAGTAATGATATTTTGTAATAATGAGGTTGTTGCTTCCTAAATAAAAAATGAGCAAATAAGTGTTAAATGCAAAGTAAGAGGTTTTAGCATGTTTCCTTAAAGTTTTTCAAAAGTTGAGAAGTTTAAGTTCTTTTACAGAGGAAAAACTGGCTTTCTTTCATAAACTAACAAGAGCCCACTGCCTGCTGCACTCCTCCCAACAGTTACAGTATGTTGTTGAGTGTAGGAGGAAGACTTTTTTTCCACATAAAGGAGAAAATGGGATATTCTTTGGTATGTAATTATACAAAATCAATGTGAGATAAAGGTGTAAGAGACTAGAGATCGGATAGATGAATGTTTGTATATGGGGAATCAGCAGAATATTTTAAAGCCAAATTACATAAACACAAATTTACTCTTTTCACAATTTAATGAATTTAAAATAGAGAGAACATCAAGTCAGAGTTTGAACTATTAAATACTGAGACAGGATGAAGCAATCGGATAAAAAGTGGCCTTCATGTCATCCAGCAGTCTAAGCCTATAGCAGCTTAACTTACATAAGACTTGTTGTATTTTTGGATAGTGGGATTTAACCTATTTTCGACTGGACTCTCAGTTTACAATGTTTTGGCAGGTTGAGAGGTCTTACATGCTCTTCATGTTTTGGGAATGAAAAAAAAAGTGCTTTATAACTTTAACCTATTCTAAACTCCTCTCAAACCTCATACCTGACCTGTCTATGTTCCTCGGTTTTCACATTTGTTTACTAGTGTTCTTTGACAAAATTCCCAGGGCTACAGAGAGAAACTTGATTTTAACTGACACTCGCATGCGTCCTGTTTACTTGTTGTTTTAGAAAGGTTGTGTGTGTGCCCAGGTCTTCAAGAAAAAGTTACGTTACAGAAGACAAAATTGAAAGAGTTCTTCTACCACAAAATAAAGTGATTAGTAACAATGACAGCCTGTTTAAAATGGTCCACTGAAGGTTGGTTCCACTGGATCCTAATTAGGGGCATAAAAGTAGAATGAACTGCAATAGACAATGTTTTTATTTTAGAGGTCAGACATTTGTGTCCCTTTTCCTGTAATTTTACGTCATACACTACTCTGTGTCAGTCATAGGTGAATTTCCAATAAAATGCATATTATTTTGTATATTATGCAAGTGTTTTAAGAAGTTATTTTTTACTCTGGTATGTATAATATTCATATATTAACAAGTTGAACTTCAGTTTCTCCTTGTTATCATGTTGTATTTGGTCTTAAGCCTTGATCTATGGTCAAAGGGTACACTTTGCTGGATAATTTGTATTTCTTTTGGAGATGACAAAGAACAACACATCAATGAGGACAATTGTTCATAATAAAGTACAGCATCTGTTATCTCTGGGTCATGATCCTGGAGCTGTTTCTTCTATTGTGGCTGCCTTTCATCTTTGGTTCTTTCAAGCAGGCAGTGTTGTTCTTTTATGGTTCTGAAATTTGAAATTCAAAACAATTTCTATTCATAAATCCAACTCTTAAATGCACTACTGATCCAGCAAATGAAGCAACATATTAAGTAAAAGCAATTTTGTGCACTTATTTAAAATTTCCATCGTCAATTTTCTTTATTATTGTTATTGAAAAATAATTCTCTTTTTTGTTATCTTCATTACCAGGGGCCACTAAAGACATGGGCAAAATGCTTGGTGGAGAGGCGGAGGCCGACCCTGATGCCCAGAAAAAAGAGGAAGAAAGACAAGAAGCATTGAGGCAACAAGAAGAGGAAAGAAAGGCAAAATATGCAAAAATGGAAGCAGAAAGAGAAAACATTCGACAGGGCATCAGGGACAAGGTAAGAAATGAAATTCAGATGTTATCCCTAATGTCAAATAATATGGTTGAAATTACAGCTAAAATAAAAGAATACAACAGAGAAATAGTAAAACAGAAACACTGAATTATCTTTTATATATTTCATTTTTAATCCACTAATTTTTTTTTTTTTTCTTTTAGTGCAATGCATTTGTCTTTTAGCCTGCTGTTAATAAATTGAAACGATCTGTAGGTAATTTTTGGCTGTGACTCTGTACAGTTTAGGTTGTAAATATAGACACTGTGCTGAAAACATTGTATTTACAAACGATTAACTTTGTTTTAATAAAAGGATTAAATGATGTCACAATGTTTGAGAACCAAAGTTTATATTAAAGAAATAATTTTTGGAATTAGGTCAAATCAAAGCAAGTGGAATATTGTCAAACTGTGTGTTAGGGCAGGGACCTTTTACCTTCTTTAGCTAGGTTTGTTTTATTATGAAGACAAAGAAGGGAATCAGGGAATTCATTTTAAAGGCCCTTTGTTCATATTTGAGCAATAAAGTGTAATTGCTGTCTTTGGAAACTCATACATGTTAATGTCATATTACTCGTCAAACCTTTATTGAGATAAAGTTTGTCTTAACATTATAAAAAAAAACTGCTCATAACACTCTAGCAAGGGTTGGCTAATATGTATGTAGTGTTGCGCCGATGGCATTTTTTGGCCCCGATACCGATACCCGATACCTGGCTGTGCAGTATCGGCCGATACCGATACCATAATAATGTAAAATAATTGCCATCATGGCTTTGTCAAGCTGCTGCCTACCTTTGTGAAGCAGGAAAAAATCTAATACAAAGTGAATCCAGTAGAACTTTTTAATAAAAAGTTCTACTGGATAATAAAAATAAGAAGTTTTTCTTGCCTACCAGGAGTGGGTGACAAAATGGTATCTGTGCCCTATTTGTTGGTACTCGCCGATACCTATACCACCATTTTAGGGCAGTATCGGGGCCCCGTCCGATACTGGTATCGGTATCGGTGCAACACTACTAATATGTAGTCACTTTTAGCTTCTGTTGGCTTTCTTTACTCAATATCGAAACGAACATAAACAGAAATGACCAAATACACTCATTGTTAAGCTGGAAACAATTTCTCTAACGTTTCCAGATTTGTGACATTTTGTTGATGAAATTTCAGAAAATTTTGGCTGGATCTGAAGTTGGATGGCCAAGCCAGGAGGGCAGTTGTTTCTTTTGGGATGCTTCATTGTTCATCAGTCTCGTACCTCTAAGTTACTCCTGTAACTTTGCTGCAGTTTGGTTCTGGGATTAACCAGCAGGTTGTAGATTTGTGTGAGCCGGTAGATCTATGTTAGAGACTTTTTTTCCACGCCGGGGTCTAATGCTACATTCACACCTAACGTGATTGGTGCAGCAAAAAAGCTTCTGCTGTTTCCATCCATCCATCCATTTTCTGGCACGCTTAATCCCAAGTGGGTTCACGAAGGGTGATGGTGCCTATCTCCAGCTGTCTGCGGGCGAGAGGTACATACTCACACCTAAGGAGAATTTAGATAAGCCAATTAACCTTAACAGTCATGATTTTGGACTGTGGGAGGAAGCCAGAGTACCCGGAGAGATCCCACGCTTGCTCAGGGAGAACATGCAAACTCCATGCAGAAAGACCCCGGGCCAGAAATCCAACCCACAACCTTCTTGCTGCAAGGCAGCAGTGCTACCCACTGTGCCACTGAGCAGCCGCATTGCCTCAAGAGCTTCTTGACACTACTGAAGCAGGTCCAGTAAAGTGTGTTCAGATGCGTCCGATTCTTCTGCTGCTCCCGCGTTCAATGGCAGAGAGTTGCTTTTCTATATTTGCTGTTATAAGTGGGAAAAAGTTGTTTTCATATGTTTTTAAGTGAGAAAGTCCACCTGAAAACTTAATCTGCGCAGTCAATTCATTAAAGGAATAGTACACCCAAAACATGATTAGCCTTCATTTTCTACTCACCCCCATGCTGAACAACACTCTGGAGTACTTTTTTGATATCTCAAATGCATCTGGAGATCTGGGAGGCTTCTTGCTGTCTGCTGACATTCAAATAATGGAGGTCTATGGTGCCCGAGACAGAAAGGTCCATAAAAGTCCACAAAAAACTGTCAATATTCCTCCATACTGCTTGTCCAATGTATTCCAAGTGTCCTGAGTGGGTAGCGTCCATAATTTACTCGAAGCGAAGTCGTTTAGAATGTTTTTAGAGCATAAACAGTAGTGTATAGGATTTCCTAAAAGCGCGTTCACGAGTCTACGGAAACCGCTGCAGACCAAACCAGATGAAAGTGCGCATTCAGCTTCTGCTCTTCCAATAATGCAGGCGTAGAAGAAGAAATGTGCTGTTTACCTGTGCAAAGAAAGAAACAACGAAAGAAAAATGTCTGAGGACTTCAGTGTTGAGGAAGAGCATGAGTTCTTTGCCGAGCTGAATGCGCACTTTCTTCTGGTTTGGTCTGCTGCGGTTTCCGTAGACTCGTGAACGAGCTTTTAGGAAATCCTATACACTACTGTTTATGCTCTAAAAACATTCTAAATGACTTCTTTTCGAGTAAATTATGGACGCTACCCACTCACGACACTTGGAATACATTGGACGAGCAGTATGGAGGAATATTGACACGTTTTTTGTGGATTTTTATGAACCTTTCTGCCTCGGGCACCATAGACCTCCATTATTTGAATGTCAGCAGACAGCAAGAAGCCTCCCAGATCTCCAGATGCATTTGAGATATCAAAAAAGTACTCCAGAGTGTTGTTCAGCATGGGGGTGAGTAGAAAATGAAGGCTAATCATGTTTTGGGTGTACTATTCCTTTAAGATCGCGATCCTACCTTTTGCTGTCGAACCAGCACGTAACCCCCCCTACACCGGTGGTTCGCTGTCAGTGGAACAGCTGCATCTAACTTGTTCGCCTCTTGGGGATTTTTTTCCCGTTAATGTTAGTCTCGCCTGGAAGGAGATGTAAATGATTTTCATGTATGTGATCTCCAGCCTGCAGGCACCAGAATGATCAAATGGAACATGTCGCAATCTGCAGGCAAAATATGTTCCGTTTTATCATTTTGGTGCCTCCTCATATCAATCTGCATCAGCAGTGCTGTGTCTGTCTCCCTGCCAGCTCCCAGATAAGCTTCTCTGATTGGTTGATGTGGTGCGTCAAGCAGCAAAAGTTACATTTTTCCAACTCCAGTATCTGTTGCTCCTCTGATTGCACATGAGGCGCTTCACCTGCTTCGATGCATCAAGATACGCTGCTCCTGCTGCTAAAAACACGCTGCAGAACCTTTTGATGCGCCTTGATGTGCGTCGACCATTCACTTTGCATGTAAACCAACTGCTTTTGCTTCTTCAATAGCGTGGAGTCTGAACATAGTAACATTGGTGGTGGAATGGAGGCTGGAGAAGGAAGGGAGGCACAGAGAGGCCAGTAGAATGAAGGTGGTAAAGGGACGTAGGAGAGTTGAAGTTTAACAGGAAAACTTGGGGTTTAAATGCTAACTTGGCTTAGGAGAGGGCTGTGCTGATAGGCTGGAACAAGAGGCAAATGGTAGGCAGGCAAGAGTCGTTTAGTTCCCTTACATATTTGAAAACAACACAAAAATATCAGTTTTATTCAGACAGTATTTTGTAAGTTGTATTTCTACACTATACTCACCATTATTTAATTTTTATCCATTGTACTGTGATCTTTCATTGTAAACCTATTAAACCTGTTGTCTATGTCAATGTAAATTACACAGTTATCTTGTATAGGATTATCGGTATAACAGTAGCTATATCTGTTGGCATTTTTTTTTGGGGGGGGGGG